GGCCTGGCTTTACATGCTGCGGTAGCATAGTTTGGTCCCTTCTCCTTTGAAAAACTACTTTGAGGGCTTAAAGTTAGGAAAACGCAGTATACCAAATTACAAAAAGTAGCCACCTGGCTAGCCCTTTCTTAATACAAGAGTATTTTATTTTAGAGATAAAAACTAACCACGCGTCTAATTGTGGGTGCTTACTAAATCCTGGCCAGAGTTAGGAGCTTAGCTTGGCTTGCCTAATTTTATTATCAGGAAATTAAATGGGCTTGCAAGTGCACTAAGCCTTCTATATAGTGTATTTTTGTTTCCTTTCTTTCCCTTAGGTTCTGTTTGCATTTTGGGAAGTTATTTATCTGGGCAAATGCATTTACTCGAATAAGTGCTTCCTAGGAAATACTTACCCGGATAAGTGCATTTGCCTATGTTCTTTTATTTCCCAGGTAAATAAGAAAATAATCATTTTAGTCATAAAAAGTGATTATTAAAAGAGACAATTTTGTCCTATCCAAATGTTGGCAATTTTTCTCTTAAGTGAAAAAGTTGCTTATCCACTTGGATAAGTGATACCTAGAAAAAATAAATTTTTCATTAACCACACATAAATCTAAAAAAAAAAATATAGATATATTGATCAATAAGAACCAAAATCTCATTAACCAACTTCCCCCTCTTAAAATTAAAAAAAAAAAACCTTAAAATTATACCCCGACCCAAAAGAGATAAGGGGACTAAACTACCCATTGAGCACAGCCTCTCTGTACAGCAACTTCTAAGTATGATATCACCGACCCAAGTATAAACAGAAGAGATTGAAAAGAGCATATCGAGCAATGAGGTGAGCCAACTTATTCATCATATCTTGGAACATAATTCAGGCCACATACAGAAAATAAGTAAATAACATAATATGGACACAATCGACCAGAAGTTCTCATTTTAGCATATGAGTGCCTAATGAGAGCAAAAGTGGTGTAACTTCGGCCAGAAGGACATAATGCGGAGTACCGGATTAATCAATCCCAAAAATTTAGGGCCCAGATGTTTTCGGGTTTCTATAATTGAACTCCAATGGATCGGCTCGGCCATAATGACAAAAGCTGGCTCTTTTCCAAAAGTGTGGTAAGGCCCATAAATTGAATGCGATAGCTGTTTTCTGTAATAAATTCATAGGCCCTACTGAAAAAAAGTGTGGGTTCCATAAATTTTAAACCTTGTAATTGATTCCACAGTCATTCAGCTAAACTTTGCTGTCATAAACCTCGGGGTGAGTGAAGTTTGAGCCCAAAAGTTAACAGTCACTTTCGGTTGAATGGTGCTGGCCTGAAGAAAGTACTCTGTTGTTGTGATTTCTTCAGGCCCATCCTGACCATTCGATCTGACTCTACCAGGCGCATCATGCTCTGGGCCTTTCACTTGCGAATTCAGATTCAGCCCTTACAAGACCATGTTCATATTGTATTCTCAGCCACTTGCATTTATGCATTGGCTTTTCATGAATTAAAATATATAAGTACCGAGATATTTTCAATACATGATTGCAAGTGATAGTGAGTACCTTGTGAGCATGGTTTTGTGACGGGTTTGGGACCCTTGATTTGCACTCCTGAGCGAAAGTAGGAGTATAGGGATGGCAATTTCATGGGAATTTTTGGGTATTTGACCCGCCCCGACCCTAATAGGACCTGTTTATGAAAACCCTATAAGATTTGGGATTTTAGATTAAAACCCTATAAGGTTTGGGACAAGTTTGGGTTTTGACTTTAGGGTATCCGATACCCGATACCCGGGATGCATAAATATGAACATATCATATTATATATCATGCACAAATTTAAAGTAAGATTATTATTCTATTATTAATATTTTATTTGTGTAAATTTYTTGGGATTAAAATCATCATTTGATGTAAATTTGGATTTAATAGATTGTTTATTTCATTCAGTTATAAAATGTTAATTTTAAATATTATTTCTTTTAATTTTTAGTTGGAATTGTTAACCATATACCTGTATTGATTGTTTTGATGAACACAAAAGCTAATAAAATCTATTTTATTTCATTAAATAATACAAAAGGCGAGATGACTTAGTGGCTTAAAGTAGTGTTAAGAGATTTGGTGCTATCATTAATTGATTCGGGTCCAAGTCACACTATAAGCATTAAGAAACTTTTTTTTTAATAGAAAACGTTTGGTTAAGGGGTTTAATGGGTGGGATGGGTCGGGACGGGTTTAGGAAATTGAGAGGAAAAGTTAGACGAATTTGAAACGGGTTTGAAATCAAGGATACATAAACGGGTTTGGGAATGAGTAAGACAATTTGCACGGATACCCTACCCATTGCCATTCCTAAGTAGGACGAGTGAAGAGAGAACTTAAATAAGCGCCATTGGTAGGAACCCATTGAAAAAAGTTTCTCAGGAAACAACTTCTTCCTGTAAAAATCTGGTTTTTGAAACATTTCGAGCTGCTTTTCCTTGTTTTGTTCTTGACATCCATGAGACCATGCTGAGAAGTTCTCATTCACTTCTCTACCCCAGAGTGAAAAAAAAAAATGCGACACTAGGCTTCTGGTATAAGTGCAAAGATGAGAGAATATCTGAAACCAGTTTATTTCCACTCTTTTATCAGTTCTAGCTTCATTTCAGGTTTGGTTCAAGGCAACATAGGATTTATGACATGGTGAAGCACAAGAATTAAAACAAGTTCTTAAGAATGCTTTCTAAATGGGAGTGACTTTTCTTCACTCTTGTCACTGAAGAGTCTAGTTTAAGCTCTGAGTTTTTCTTCTGTTAGTGAAGATTATTCAGGCTAATTTATCTCTTTTGATTTCTCTAGCATGTTTTATAGAGGGTGATTTTTACAAGTCTGAACATTTGCAGTTAAAGAAGGGATAAATTAACATTCCAGGAAGAGAAATCAAAATTCGTTTTGAGAAATCTAATTAAGGGAGTGATTATTTTAAAAACAAGTGCTTATTCTAACAAGTTCTGATGATGAAAAATACTTATTTCAAATAAGGGTAATATAAGTATTTTGAAAATAATATGGTGAGTCAAGCCAGGACAGAAGGGAGATAACCCTAAGTTTTGGACTTTTAGGATAAACACTTATTCTCAGAAATAAGAATTTATTCAAACTTATTTTCCAAATACAAATAAGTGATTATTGATGTGTCCCAACTCCCAACCCAAAATAAATGCTTAACTAAACAAGTGCTTATTTTTAAAACTATTTATTCATATTATTTTGTATCCCACCTTCACAAGGGGCTCTTGCCTTGAGAACAATAAATGATGTCTATAGCTGTAGCTTGGGATTCATTTGTCCCGTATCTGACACATGAAATAGACAAATGTCCACAACAAAGGTGGTGACCACGTCAAACTTGCACCAATGACTCGTCACCTTTGCAACCCATACAACAGTGTTACTGAATATGCCAATTCCATTAACAAGTGGCTAACGATAATTCAAGGATGTTATCTGTAGAAAAATATGAGTGACTTTCATTTTTTTTTTACTATTATATGTTGTACATATTGCTAAAAGTTGACAAGACACTGCTCCACAAAACCACTCTTTAGTCTTTATATAAAGGTCCCGACTTTATATTGTCCACAGTATTTTTTATTTATTTTTGAGGAGAGATTGTTGTGCAGTTGAGGGTTAGAGTGTTAAAGACTGGTGCCTGAAATCCCCCGTACCATATAATTTTACTTAGGGCTCTCCCTGCCGGACAATTAAAAAAAAAAAAAAAAACGCCATTATTCAATGGTGGTCCCAAGCTAGGGTTTGTGGGGATCCATTACGGGCTATATGAGGTTTGGAGAGGTATGAATTGTATACCATAAGGCCTAACCTTTGGATTTTATTTTTTTTTCCCAAAATGGTCACTCTAAGACTTCAACCTGCATTTTCATACTTGTTAGTTTGAAAATCTCCCGTGCCCTTGAAAGTGCTCTGTATTCCACTTTCTTCCGGCAAATGGCAACCCTTCTATGATGGTTAAAGGGCATTCTTTAAAGTTTTGGTCTGTTTGGATGCTATGTGAAATATAGTAGGATTGTTTTATTTTAGGTCTGTTTGGTCTGGTTAGAGGGCATTTGAACCTTTACTGGATTTTTTTTTTGGCATCTCCTACTGTTCGGGAAAACATTTACTTGAAACCTTGAACTGACCCCATCTTAGTGGGGCATTAATTTCATTTAAAATGAGGGCTGTGGAACCAATGATCATCCCCATGCCGGTCATGAAATACATTTGGCCCCAATTACGGGTGTGTTGCATTTAGAGATGGTAATTTTTCCTATAAAACTGGGACTCAGCTCTAAAAGAGGCATATTTTCCCTGACCCTAAACAGGAACGGGGTGGAATGGGTTTTGTATATAATTCTTCGAATTTGCCCCGAATCCGAAGGTAAATTAATAAAATATTTTTAGGTTTAAAATTAATATTTAAAATATCTCTAAATTTTTTCTAAATTTTTAAAATCCTAAGATCCCATAATTTTATTTTTTTAATTACCCTTAAAGTATTATAATTCAATTCCTAAAATACCCCCAAATTCTTATATTTATGTATAAATTGTCTATAAAATAGATAATTTTTAAATAATTGCCTTAGAGAGAGAAAAATTCAAGAATTTCCCATCCCTGATGGARAATATATACCCCACCCCAAACCTCTTCCACCACTGGGGACAAAACAGATACGAGGCAAAGTATCTTGACTTCAGGGCAAGGACGAGGAGTGGATGCCTGTCCCAATCCCACCATGTTGCCATTCCTAGTTGCATTTTGGGTTGATAAATACAAATTTGTAAAATGTTGATTAGTATCATTTCAATTAAAAAAATGTATGCATGAGAAACATTAAATTTCACTTTCAAAAGTCAAAAATTTTAAAAAGAAACAAAGTCTCACACATTTGTATTAATCAACGGCAACTCAACGCAACTGTACCAAACACTTCAATCCCTCACTATTAGCATTTATGACTACCATAGAACCTTAAAATGACTTCATTTCCCCATTTAATAACGTTCATGTTAGCAATCTGCCGTGGATGATAATTTTATGCTTTCAAGTTTCAATATGGTAAACAATACTAATCTAAACGAAACAGCTTTGCAAGCGGCTTCAAGGTGCCAGTAGATTTATTTCTACCAATCTATCGTAGCAAACAGAACTCCTACATTGGGAAGTATAGAAACGCAAGATTAGACCGACTAGCTACTAATACCATAGTCTCAATTCTCAACACAAACAGAACTCCATTCGCTTCAGTGATGGGGAAGTAAAAAGAGCTTCCTAGCTACGTTTCATTCATCACGATCTTCATTGCCTTGGCTTGCTTGTGATTTCGTTCGAACTTTGAACTTGGAAGTATCAAATGACTCAAAACATGTTCTTGTACCAGTACACCCCTTTATCCTTGGAATTCTCATCCGGCTCCACGTAAATACATTCCTTTGCTTCTCTCCACATTGCCATGTAAAATGGGGTTCCGTCAAACTGGTAGTAATCGCCAAGAATAGGCCTGATGGCTTTGGTTGCCTCCATTGCATGATAATGTGGCATCGTCGAGAACAAATGGTGGGCAACATGTGTATCTGTGATGTTATGAAAGACCTTGTTCAACACCCCGTAGTCCCTATCCATGGTTGCCAATGCTCCCCTCAGCCAGTCCCACTCGGTGGAATCGTAATGCGGCAGAGACGGGTGGGTGTGCTGCAAGTAGGTGATCATGACAAGGAATCCATTCACGATCAACAATGGGACTCCATAGACACATACAACCCAAGCGAGCCCTTTTGCAGCCACAAGCCGAAACAGACCGTATGTGACCGCAAGGACACCGGCATCGGAGATGTAGATCTGCATTCGTTCACGGTTGGAGTAAATTGGGCCGTAAGGGTCATAATGGCAGGCAAAGCGGTCGTAGTGACGGCCGGAGACGTTGAATAACAAGTAGAGTGGCCACCCAAGAGTGAGTGTGATTGTGAGTGTGAGGACACGGCCGGGTGGGTTGTTGAGGTACCTAGAGAACCATGGGATCTTGGATTTGGGTTTTGGGACGAAGACCTCATCACGCTCAAGGGACCCAGTGTTTGAGTGGTGGCGTCGATGGCTGTACTTCCAGGAGAAGTAGGGGACGAGAAGGGCAGAGTGAAGGATAAGTCCGACCGTGTCGTCTAGCCATTGGTAGTCACTGAATGCATGGTGGCCACATTCGTGGGCTATGACCCAAACACCTGTGAGGACACAGCCCTGTATGACCCAATAGATTGGCCAGGCGAGGTAGGAGAGTGAGTGAGGTAAGAGGTGGAAATAAGTGATGGCAATGTAGTAGAAGGCAAAGACCATGGCAAGGTCATAGACAACGTAGGAGAAGGATCGGAGCACGGACCGCTGGAAACAGTGAGGCGGTATGGCTTTCTTAATCTGGCTCAGGGTGAATGGAGGAGCTGAGTGTGGGGCTCGGCGGAGGGCATCGTGTTCTTGCTTCTTGGTGGTAGGGACGACCATTCGGCCACCGGCTCCCATTGTAACTTCTGCCTGTGAGACAGAAAAATGAGATTCTTTTGTCAACTTTTCAGCTAAAAATTCAGCACTAATGAATCAACAGAAAGTCAGAAACATTAATATTGTTCTATGGGTCTGGGACTCGGGGATTGGGTTCATCAACCATTGAGAGAAATTGGTGACCCAGCGCCCCAGACGACTTGCATTGCATGTGGGGATGTGGATAAAGATAAATCGGTTACCAGGATCCACACACATATATATATATATATATATATATATATATATTGTAGGGATCATAAATTATTCGGTACAGATAAAGATATTTGAATGGCGGTCAAGTCTTCGGAATAAAAATTGACGACGAATTTGATCTCTTTGTCGGCCTTGTTAATTTTTATTTTTTTTCATTTATTTGGTCAAATTCTTTACTCTTAAGTTAAAAAAAAAAAAGATAGGCATGGACTATTTTCTTTAAAAAAAAGGATCAAACAAAACCACCTGGGGGAAAGAAAATATCTTGAGACAGCATAATATGCCACAACCGGTGTGGACAATTTGGATTTACCAGTTCATGGGCTTGAGTCCGGATCATCTGCCAATAAAATATATTCCAACAACCTACAATATTACACCACACATCTCATATATGTGGGTTTCAATCTCATGATGAGATGTGAGGTGTTAGATCAAATTGATAAGGATTGAAACGTGTTTTGTTGGCAGAAATTCTCCAATTCGATGGAGATGCTCACGGAAAATGAATGAATTAGTTGGAAGAAATTATTATTGTATGGGGGAGAAAGTTCATCCGGTGGTTCCTTCGATGGGGCCCATAAGGTGGCTTAGCCAGAAAGGACACACAGGACTGATGCGTCGCAACTCGCAAGCATCGAGTTATGGGTCTCACGCCCACCACAAACGTGTAAATGGAGACTTGAATTATAGCAATAACAAGAACACCAAACATATACGCTATTTAACCTTGGGAAAATAACTGATCAGTGCAAGTCGGTTTTTTTAATCTTACCGTACAAGAGAGGAATCTGACCGTGAATTGATGCCAAATTCGAAGTATTTATACGGTAAGATTAAAAATACCGACTTGCACTGATCAGTTATTCTCCCAAGGTTAAATAGGGTATATGTTTGTCGCATTCTATCAGCATCTATGGGTATCTGGGTACTTTAACCCTTTAATCTTTGACACCATAATACAAGGCTTTTACTCTGCTTGAAATATCTCTTCTCTGCTTGTTCGCAGCCTTTTGTTTTCTCATTTGAAAAAGTTATTTGAGGATGGACTCTAATATCAAATATTAGTAATACTTAAATAGATATTCAAACCTTTCAAACCATTTAATCCTTACTAAAGAAAACCTTTACGACCATAACAGCACCACTGTTTATGACTTGATATAACACAACACCTAACAAAGACGGAATGTTATTAACAAGTTTCACGCAACCCTTGATTATAGACAAAGTTAGGTTGATTTTGTCTTGGTTTGAAAAAGTTTCGTTTAACTTAATATTAAGAATTTTTTTCTGTATCTGTTAGGAGGAATAAGCCTCCGGACTTGTGCAGTAGAACTTTAATTAAGAGTTTCTCTTTAGAAAAAATTCTATTTGATCATAAAAAATGCAATTCTTGATTTTTTTCCTCTGGTCAGAAGAGACTCGTGAAAGCATATATGAAAAACATATCCAACCTTATCTTGAAACGTGCCATTTCATGGTCTGTTGGAAAAGACTATAAGAAAATAAAAAATTCATCCAGATAGTGTGGAAGACAGGGAAAATATCCTCTGCTCTAGGCCGCCCCTGAATAGTTGGGGGTAGGACTTCATGACTAGTTTGATTCGTTTACATGGGGAAAACACACAGGTCCATGACTAGATAGAAAACAGTAAACTTAGGCCAGAAATACAAGGACAGAGACATTTTATAAGAATATAGAAAACTTAAAAAGAAAGCCTTATTCCTCATCGTTTATAGAACAGATAAAACTAATAGAACAAGGTAAACATGTTCAAATATAGGATCCCAACCTAACGACAGAAAATTTATTCGGTTAACCGAACCATAACACTTTTTTGTAAATTGAACTAGTGGTAGTGGTTTTTCTAATTCTCCAAACCAAAACTCGGTCCGTCAGTTTCAGTTTTTGACCGGTTCAATTCTTCAATTTTTTGATTTTTTTATATTTATAATATATATTATACAAATATATGTATAATATTTAAAAATATATATATTTATAAATAGATCATTATAAATATAATATAAGTATACATATATATATAATGAATATATTTATATATAATACATAGAAAATATGTAAGATATATTAAAAATATATATACTGGTTGGTTCGATTAACCATCAGTTTTTTTGTAGATTAACAAAAAATAGAACCAATTCTTCATTTTTTCAAAAATCTTAAACCGAAACCAAATCAATGATTCGATTAACTGCATTTTGCGATTCGATTTTTCGGTTTAATATGGATACCCCTAATTCCCACCTCCCACATTGGACCAAAGGTCAAATAACCAATGCAAAAATAGAAAACAGAGGTATCTAAGTGCCTACACAAAGCTAAGTAATGACTAATGGGGCTTCCCCATTCCATTCAAGGCTACTTAGTACTTAGTTACTACACATAGGTACAAGTACCGAAACAAGCTTCAGTACTGACCGTGCTCACAAACTTTTACAATCTTGCAAATATCTTCCTATGAAAAAAGAACACAAGAACAGAGATATTTTCAACGCAAGACTGTAAAAACTGTACAACGGTGTGAGCACCGTCATGTGAACACTGAAGCCGATCTCACAGGTAACCATCTGCCGTTGACCAAGTTAAATTGAAGCCAGAAGCCTGCACACTCTTTGGTAGACACATCAAGCACAGTCCTCGTACTGCTTGAGTGGTCACTGGCCACCAATAATAATTATCAATCTTGGTCATGTTCATGTTCCCAATAATCAATCCACTAATTTATTGTGTTCCAAACGGGAAAACACTATTCCCTGTTTGGCGTAACTGAGATTTCCCATTTAGTTGAGAGTTGAGAGTTGAGACCCAGCAAACCAACCCACCCACAAGCCCCACAGAGAGAGTCCAGCCAGGCTGCTCCATGTGCAGGTGCAGCTTCAGGCATTAAGACAAGGAGTACTGATGGGCCAGGAGTTGTACAGCCAGACTGAATACTGAACCCCGGCCCTATATAGTATGTACATCCAGACTCAACCCTGGCCCCATGTACAGCCAGAAGCGCAGAATCGCCCTTGGACTGACTTGGAAATCTTAAAAGCAAGATCCTAAGACACGATCAGACGCTGAACCGGCAGTTAATTATAAGGGTTTCTTGGGGTTCACATGGACCAAGTGGTAGGTAGGGGATCACATGGTAACAATGAGGCCGAGGAGCAAGAGAGAGGGAGAGGGGTGTCACTTAATCGCTTACAGACGGAAGATCAAAAGTTCAAAACTTAATTCTTTTAGGTGGACATGGAAATAGGGTGTGATGGTTTTTATTTTGATATATTTTCTTGTTAAAGGAAGCTTATGCTTTCTAACAAACTCCAGCCCACATTTCTTTTCTTGTTTAAGCAAGAAGAGCGTGGAATGCGGTCGTTGACGGATTCAAAGTTCAAAGTTCAAACTGAGTTGAAATAAATTCAGGCGGCTGCTTTTCAGTGGTCAGCGTTGGATGGATGGATAAGAAACCCGATCATAACAGATCCAACTGCTTAGATCAATAACTACCACTGCCTTAGTTTACGGAGTTCTGCCGTTTTGGTTTCACTAACCAAAACTGTGCGAAAGTGAAAAGATTTTTTTTGAAGCCTTGAAGCCTCCGAAAGTGAAAAGATTGAATGAACCACCTTTATAGTGATGGAAATGTTCCAAGAAATAAAGAAATTAAATGAAAAGCAACAGCGAGAAGTTGGAATAAATCCAAGACAATAAAACAATTTATGAGGCAAAATGCAGACAAGAGGACAAATCAGCTCAAGAGTTAAATATCACAAAACATCTGGAAAAAAAAAGGAAAACGAAATTCAAATAGAGGGTTTTGAGATCCGGATACCTCAAGACTGAAGCTCGGAATCGAACTCCCAGATTCGACTTTTGAGTGGTATAAACACGAAAAAGTTCATTTCCAGCAATAAATCCATCAACAAAACAATTTATGCAAGAAAATAATTTCCAGAAAAGGCCTCTAGTTTTCATTAGATGATTAAGCATCTGTATGTGTTACATTTGAGCTAAATCAGTGGAAAAAAAGATCGAGGAACAGAAGATGAACAGACGCATAGATCTTAGTAAAACAACCAACCTATAGCTCATACTCTACTTTATATGGCTTGTAAGTATAAAAGAGATCAATGCGTGGATATACCTCTTCAAGGTCTGGATGTATAAACTATTTTCAGCATTGATAATGATCTCGAGATTTTTTGTTTAGTTAAATGAAAGAAACAAACGAAATAGGTTAGATTTATCCTGAAAAAACAAAAACTTGCACATTCCTTTTTACAGCTTGGAATCTACAAACTTCATCGTGAAGGAGCTAGGGTTTCAGTTCCAGATTTTTAATGGATCTTCAAATGCGAAAACACCGAAAAGAGAATCAAACAAAATCAACTCCTTTTACTGTAGAACAAGAATGGAGATAAAAAATACCTGAAGAGAAGAAGAAGAACTGAAGACGCCTTTGCCGCCTCCCCCTCCGAGAGACTCTCGGTCTCTCTCACCCTCGCGCTTCTCTGTCTCACTCTCTCTCTCTCTCTCTCTCTCTCTCTCTCTCTCTCTCTCTGCTTCTCTTTCTCCGGCTATTTCTCGTCCGCTCCCCAGAGCACCTATTTAAGCTTTTTCATTCCCTCCTCGGGTTGGAGGGGGCCCACTTCAATATAAACTCGTATACCTGGCTCGCTCATTCTTGGCTATGCACACGTGTCTTTTTATTATTGGCTTTCTTGACATCTATAGACAGAGGATAATCTTATAGGTAAACACTATCTGCCAAAGAAAATCTAGGGCAGAAAACGCATCCGATGACGACTACACTATCCAGTTGGCAATGTCTCGAGCCGGTTGTAACGGAGAATTGGATCGAATCCTTGCACTAGGGTTGGAGAATTATGGATTTTCGAGAATTCAACAGGTATTGCAATGGTTCGGATGCTAAAATGAAACTAGCGCTAATTAGGGGTGAGCACTATTTGTTCCAATTAGGGGTGAGTACTATTAGGTTAAAATAATAGAAAAATCGAATCGGTTTTAGTTTTTTTCAGTTCGGTTTTTTTTGTTTTGGATTAAATCGGTTTGATTATTTTGGTTTTTGATTAATTCGGTTTTTGGTTTCGGTTTTAAGAATTAGGATTTTAGTTAATTGAATTAATCAAATTTTTTATTATTATATGTAATATATAATATATAATATAACATATAATATATTATATATTTATATATTAATATATAATATACTGAAGTTTGATTTCATAATATAATATATTATATGTTATATGTTATAATATACATAATAGAGTATATATTATTAAAATTTGGTTTTAATTGAAATAACCTAAAACTGAACTGAATATTTCGGTTTCGGTTAATTTGGTTTTTATTTTTTTAATTTGATTTTTAAAATTTTGGTTTATTCAATTCAGTTTTTAATCGAATAAACCGAATGCTCACCCCTAGTGCCAACCAAATGATATGTAAGGTCTCTTGTTGGTTTTAGCGGAGATTTAGGATCGAATCCTGCCTGCACCTCGAGGTTATGGGTTAGGGGATTCAAAAGATATAAAAAAACAGACCTACATCTGACTACTTTGATATTCTATAGTATTACTATTAGGGTAGTGTTTGGTTCCGCTTATGTTTATTGAGTAAACGGTGCCACATAGGCACCCCATTAGCAAAGGCTTCATTAATTGCATTTGTACATAAAGATGTTTGCAAAAGCAAACATCGATTTCTTTGCACCTCTTCCATTTCAGGAAGCTTCATTTTGGAGCTTCCTCCAACTAGTAGGTGTTTATTGACACTTTTGCTGATGTGGTGCATGATGGCACCTATGTGTCATAAATGCCCTTGTTAGTTGTTTTTCTCGATTTTGCAACCACACAAATACAAAATATTTATTCAGTAAACGTAAATGAAACCAAACACATACTAGATTATTGTGTAACCTAGTTGTTCAGGCATTGTTCTTGTTTTCTATTTATTTATTTATTTATTTATTTTTATTTATCATAGGGTTGTGTTTGGAAACGATGTAAATGCAAAACAAAAATGTTAATATACATTTATCAACCAAACATATAAACCGGTTGGCTTTTGCATGTATGATTTGTTCTCCTCATTTGGTATGAACATAAATAATGACTTAATGAGTTTACTTTTGCCCACATAGGGAAACTAATGATGTAAATAAACGATGAGTGCACTCTCCATTAAACTCAAAATAGTGCCCCAAATGGTTAGATGGAAAACAATCTAATTGAGCGAATTAAATTAAGTTAAATTACACAAGGCTACTAGGTAAGTTGGAATTTAAAATAAATAACCTGTATTTGTAAATCACATTTTTCTTTTTTCTTGGGGAGGATGTCAAAATGGAATTGGAATTATGGCATCCATTTTATGTGCAATCCACTATACATGCATCCATTGTTAATGAAGCCTATAAGTAGGGGTGGCAAATGGGTGGATTGGGTTGGGTTGGGTTAGGGTTGAATATCAATCCACTCATATTGACTCACCAACCCACCATGACCCATCATTAATCCTAATTAAAGGGTCATAACCCACCCTAATCCTAATCCACCCTGACTCACCTATATTAACTCACTTGACCCATCCATATTGATCATTAACCACCTTCACCCATACTAACCCACCTACCCTCACTTATAAATACAAAAACGGCCCGTATACGCAAAATAATAAAATTTGAGAGACTAATCTCTCTCAAGACTATCACGTGACAAAAGCAAGTCAAGTCAATCCGTATACTCGAAAATGCAAAAAATTGAAGAAAAATCACAAAAAAATACAAAAAAAAACCAAAAAATTGTAGAAAATACAAAAAATACCAAAAATTACAAAAAATACTAAAATTCTTTAAAAACTTCAGAACTTTTGCAGAAAAAATCAGAAAATATGCAAAAAAAACCCAAAAGTTTGTAGGAAATGCATGAAAAACACCAAAAATGCAAAAAAAAAAAACACAAAACATTGTAGAAAATGCAGAAAATACCAGAAAATTTTAGAAAATGTAGAAAAATACCAAAAAATTGCAAAAAAGCAGAAAAATACCAAAAATTTACAAAAGATGCAGAAAATAAAAGAAAAATTGTAGAAAATGCAAAAAAATGCACAACTTTTATAAAAGTGCTTTCGTAAAAGTACTTTTATGAAAGTACTTCTACAAAAGTACTTCTATAAAAATTCTTTCATAAAGTACTTTCATAAAAGCACTTTTATAAAAGTACTTTCATATAAGTGTTTCCGAAAAGTACTTTCATAAAGTGCTTTCATGTAAAAGTACTTTCATAAAGTGCTTTTGTAAAATTACTTTCGTGTAAAAGTGCTTTCATAAAAGTCCTTTTCATAAAATTACTTTATAAAATTGCTTTTGTAAAAGTGTTTTTATATAAAATTGCATGTGAACACGAAAGTTAATAAAATCTATTTTATTTAATTTTTATTCTCAAAATAAAATGTGGCATAATGGTTTGGAAGTGTAATGAGATGTTGGCATGATAGAAGGAGTTCAAATCATTACAATTTCCATTTTTGAGATTTGGCAAGTATAGATAGAGTAGACTTTGACCCAACCCATCCTGACCCTAATGGGTACCCTCAACCCAACTCACCCTAATCCTTTTCCATTGACCCTAATGGGTTGCTTGACCCATATTGACCTACCGATAGATTGGGTGGGTGGGTCAAATGGGTTGGCGTCAAAATTGCTAGCCCTACCTACAAGTAACATAGACTAAAGCCATTGATATTAACCATTTCTCACCATTATCATTCAAAGGGATCACTGATCATGGATAATTTGATTTTTTTATTCACCAACTCATTTGCTCATCTATAAATATACCTTCCACCCCAAACCCATCCCCTTTACTATCATTAATTCAATTGAGTTTTGTTTGACTTCCCATCTCAATCCAAATGAACACAACCCAAGGGAAGAGTAGGCACCTGAACAACTGATTTAGCCCCTTCACCATCATTATTCATTGATATAGTCCATTGCCAATATGATATAACCCATAAGAAAATGGGACACAATCTACCCAAAAGAGCTAAATAGCATGGTTTTCAAAACTRGACCAGACTAGATGGTTGGACCAGAAAAATTGGGAACCGATTAGGTGACTGGTTCCGTTTTTCTCCAAAACTAGATTTTTGCCAAAAAAACGTTTATTTGGTCAACAAGCTGCTAACCCAAGCAGTTGAACTGTTCAAACTGTTCAACGGTTTTGGCCGTTTTTTAATTTTTTTTGTCAAAACAGGCTGACCGTTCGATCCAGGAACCAGACCCCTGACCGGTTCGTTGTCTGGGTTGATTTTAAAAGTCTTGCTAAATAGAGTTAAGGATATGTAGTGTTTATAAAGCATTTACCTTGTTTTTGGTGAAGGTGAGACTGATCTAACAACTGGTACAACAAGATGTGAGATCTAAAAGAAACATGTTTGAGAAACATGATATGATATGAAATTACACAATTGGTACAACAAGGAGATGAATTTCTTACCCAAGACATAACAAATTTTGGAACCTCATATTTAAGAGAGAAAAAAATACAAAAAAGGAACCTGATGAAGGAAGATTTGGCCCGACCTCGTAACCACTCAACACGTGGCAAAGGCAACAGCTCGCCAAGGTGCGAGCTCCGAAAGGAGAAACCAGCGGTCCGAACTCTCTGCAAGGAGCCCGAACTCCCAGTACGGAGCCCGAGCTCTCCCTTAGGCCCCGAGCCTTATGAACACAAAGGGCAACAACCCGAATTGGCCTACCCCATGGTAGTTCGGGCCACACCTCTGTCCGAACTCAAGACTTCGCCTCGCACACCACTCCAGCACTTCGCCCCCAGGACACCGAACTGAAGAAACCGTACCTGACACCGAAGGAGTCCGTACCAA